TTTGCTGGCTACACTGAATGTAATCAAATCATCCATATCTCTGTATAGTATACGGCATGTATGTAGTTTTTGCTTCATTTGTATATACAGCCAGATGCCTTCTTTCTCTGAAAAAATTCTCTCCTTAAATTCCCAGTGTAAAATCACCTTAAAAATGTATTAATTACAGTAATTACCATTAATAAAATGAGTAATGCACATCTTCCTTTTCTGATTATCTTAAACCATGTTTGACATGTTTTATGATCTAATATTCCTAATATTTATATTAACCATGCACAAAACAGTGCCTAATAGATAAGACTCAGAGGGGGGAAATATAATAAAATATATATATACACACTAGGAATAAGATATTGTTAAGAAGATTGTAGAAAATAGAAATAAGAGGTATAAGTGTTACTTTAAACTAAAAGAGGAGATTGAATCTAACCTATAAAACAAATTGAAGGTATCAAAATCATTGCATTACTGTACAATGAGTAGTTTGGTGGCTCCATATGACAATGGTTAGAGTTTTGTAAGTAACATAAATTATAATGAAATAAATTTAATAAATAGTTTATATAACCATTCGTTGTTGCAGTTGAATGTTTAGTGTGCTTTTACAGTACTTTTAAACATTACTCTAAATGAGAGCGTGCTAAGAAAAATATATCAGAGGGGTAGAAAAAATACTTCTGTTTTCAGGGGGCCAAATTTTGACTGTGTGTGAAGTTTTGTTGGAAAGGAGCATATTTTCAGCCCTGGAAGCACACTTCAGTTCACCCTGCAGGAAAAACCAGTGGATGCCTGTATCTGTCTGTAATCCTCAGAGCACAGAAAGAGAAAGGGTATTTCATCTTTGGAGCAGTATGCATGGTATGCCCACAGGCCAACTCCATCAGTGCTGAGTTCGCAAACTAGCAAAAACATTACATCCTCACGGGCAGAACTTTTTCAGAAACTAACTAGAATAAATCAGCATGTATGGTGGGGCCACTTTTTCTTCACTCTGGGCTGACCCCTTGGTGAAGTCATGAGAGTAGAACAGCTGCGAGTTCCAGTTATGGCTCAGCCACAGCAGGAGGGAGACAGAGAACCACAGCGAGGGGAGGAGAGGGCCTCCAGTCCTGTCATGCTGAGTTAGTCTGCTCTGGAGGTGTCACTCACCACTGGACCCGAAGGCTAAGATTTAAAAAACAAAAAACTGAAAGTTAGGATTTAAAATCTATATTTAGATAGTTAAGTACGTGGCCTGATTTTCATAAATGCTAAGCACCCATAAGCAGCTATGTTTCTGAGACCCTTGTATCACTTTGAACTAGGAAGGTATTCCAGAGACCCAAGGATTTTCTTCAACTGCACATTCTCAGTTTCTGTAATTTATAATCCTAAATGCAGGCATATTATGTCAGAATGTTCTGCTTTTATTTTATGTGTGTGCACTTTTGTGCACATACAAGGGAGAATTTGGCTGAGAAGGTGTACATTTTTCATAAATTATTAATTCTCGTTGCTAAATTCATGTGTCATTCCTTCTATGTAGCACCTAGAAACATGCTATAATTACAGTAATAAATTTCTCATTTTATAATTGTTTCCTTTTGTTAATACTGAGAAGATTTAAAACCATTCCCTTTCCTCTAAAAAGCAGCATAATGTTTAATAGCTGAATTCCCACATGCTCACTCACCAGCCTGGGATCTGTGATATCTGTCTGTCTACCTATATATATTTTGTTGTGTGAGAGAGAAGGTAGAAACACTGGTAGAAAAGACCTTGTTGAGGAAAAGCTATGTTAAAGAGATGGGTTTTACATTTGGTTCTGAATGTGATCAGGCCTTTGACTATATAGCGAATTCCACAGTGTAGGTCCAACTCCTATGAATCGTATTTCCAACCAGCTAAGTTCTGCCTATTTAAAAAGAAAACTGAAGACCAAATACAGAAAGTAGCTACTGTAAGAGTAAGCTTGTCCTTAATAGTCTGAGGTTGTCTGTTGCTGCATGGACCAAAAGCAGAAGTGTTTTTCAGTGTGTGCAAATAGTGGGAAGCAAAATACATGGGACTTAAAATAGGTACCTTGGCCGCAAAGAAAAGATAATATTGCACTAGCTGTGCTGTTCTAATGCCTGTTGTAATGAGAGCCAAAGAGCATGGGCCATTCTAGAGGACTAGAAGGCCATCTGCTGGTTGAGTCTAAATTTTCATTATATTGCAAAGGTCTTTTTTTGCCTCTAGTGTGAGACAGAAATGTTCAGCCTTCTGGACATGGATTTTAGCCACGCAAGTCACTTTGTGGCTGAAGGTTTATAGACTACTCAAAACATTTAAGTCTAAACAATGTTTGATTATGTTTGTTTTACCTCAAGTTTCATTAAGCAATAATGAATATAGTTATTGTTGCTGCTTATCTGAAAAGAGCAGCTCTTCCCTGTGATAACTTTTACACAAGTTACACAGCTGTTAATATAATTAAACAGGGTTGAATATGGAGTAACTCTGTTGGGTTCACACTGGGCAGTCTCACCCCGAATCCATCTGTGGTGGGTTGCATGTGCCCATCCTGGTGTGAAACAGGAAGGAGTTAAATCCCTTCACTGGGTAGAAAGGAAGAAGATGACACTTAAAGACTGACTGAGCTGCTAGACCTGGAGCGACACACTCACAGCTGTGCCTTCTAGCAGCCTAACAAGTCACAGCTATCAGTTTTAATCTCCAGGTCTGGCAGCTCAGGTAAGGATCAGTTTTCTCCTTGTTGCCTGGGAAAGGTGTTTAACCTCTTCCTGGTTCACAAATACTCCCCATTCTAAGCCATCACAGCTACCAAGCGAACTGTTGTACTGACGCATCTGTTTTGGGGAAGGGAGTCATGACTGGCACATATTTAGAATATGGCACAGTTCTCAAACGTCAGAAAAAAAGTCATTTTATGTGACTATAAAATCTTAGGTTTTTTTAAAAATTGAATCTGTTCTATAGAATAAAAATATACCTCTTACATGAATACCCAGTTGGCTTCCTTCTCCAACAGGGCTTCCTTGGATGATGTGTTACCCCTAAACTATGCTTTCCCTGGAGCATCATCGCTGAGCAGAGCCAGGCAGTGAGACCTTTATGGCCCTAAAAAGAGGTTTTGAGTAGGTTACTTCGTAATTTCTTCATTTGCTGGTTGTTGTATACAACTTGTTCAAGTAAACAGAATGTTGTGTTGTCCGTTCGCCTATAAGGGTCTGATTCAAAGCACATTTACAGATGAATTTAAGATTAATACAGGAGTGGCTTCTATCAGAGGAGCCTCAGTAATGTGACCTTATGCTGTCTTTAACTGTTACTTTGGTACCTCCATATTTTGGGTCTTATGTTGAACAATGGTCATTACTCTGAGGTCCTTCTTATAGAAAATTGAGCCAATTCCTGCCATAGCACTGCAGGATCTGCCTCTATATGAGTTGCAATAACTTATACCACCAAATAAGTGAAGGACAGAGGAAGATCACCTCCTATTGGGAGGTTAGTTCATAGTTGTATTATGTGCTTTTGGGTTGGTTAGTGGATTATTTAGTCCATGTTGCTGAAGTAAATAGAATGGTTTGGATTGATACTTGTGATTCATGCTTTGCATTATTTTGACACTCCCACCTCAGTGTGCTCAACAGGATGACAATATTTATTATTTATGTGTGATTCCGTACTGACACAAAAAGGCAAGGCACCGTGACTGCATCACTGCTCAACTGCTGTTTCTAGCTTTGGCTGTGTGGGCCTGATTCTTAGCCCATTAAAGCTACTGAGTATTTCAGTGAGGCACCAGGATCAGGTCCTCTGCCACAGTGGCAATACTGTTTCACTTTCTTTCTCCCCTATATGAATTTTGCTATAAACGCAGGGCAGCTTGTAGCAGTGAGGTCACTGGTCTGCATGTGACGTAACAAATAACTTAACGGTACCTGCTGATTATGCTTGCCACTCATTTTTCTCACTGTTAGACATCACAGCTGTATAATGGACTTGATCCTCCTTCCATCGACCAGACATTTAAACAAGCTGTACTTTCTGCAACTTGAATGCTTCATTCAAGATCAAGATTTTCTGGTCTTGTGGCTTTTGTTCAGAGTATGTTCTGTACGTACAACGTTTAGGATTTAGGGGTTTGTGTTTGATTGGGTTTGTTTTTGTTTTTTACACATTCAGCTTTTATCTTTGCTGGTGGGAATTTGTTTAAAATAGTTTCTGGAGTAGTATGATTTATGTCCATGAATCACGTAGCCCAACTCTCTAATCTGCTGCAGATATCAAAATGCAATTCCTAAACCATTTGCTTGTCAGCTAGATTTGTTTCTTTTCATGTCACATAATCTAGTAACTGATGGACGGTATTCTCCTAGGAATTGTTTTCTAGTTACTTGGTTTTGATTTCAAGGACTCTGTCCATTTTCACAACCTCCCTAGAATATGGCTACAGGTCACATACACACTGGGAAACTCTAAATTATGATAATGCTTAAAAATATTTATACAAAAAGAACTCTATAGTTCAGGCCACTATGGCTTTAAATCTGATAACATCCCAGTTTGGGGCTGCCATAAAAGCATGATCATGGACTGAAAACTTTTATGCATAGTTTTAACCCAGACTATTTACAGCCAAATTTCTAAACCCCCTAAAACTGCTTTGTTTCGGAAATGCTAGTATCACCACTACTGTCAAAATAAAAATACTTGTTCTGTATATTGTAACAAGATTTTCAAAAGTAGTGTTAATGGTTCTCTTTTGGAGAGTGACTACAGATCACAACAATTCCTATTTTAGTACTTTAGTTTCCTTAAGGTCCAAAATATTCTTGCTGATTTCTTTTCATAAATGAATTTGGTTTCCTTTTCTGTGACCTGTAATTACATGTCAGTAACAAACCAAGTTGCATACCAAACTATTGTATTCTGCGATTTCATAAGTTTCTGTCCAAGTTGCATGATATTCCTTTGTCTTAATTTTTTGCTTCCGTTATATTTTACAGTTCAATTTCACCATTCAGTATTGAGAGCACAAGGCGCCAGAGAAGGTCTGAGTCCCCAGACTCCAGGAAGCGGCGCATCCATAGGTGTGATTTTGAAGGATGCAACAAAGTATACACAAAAAGTTCTCATCTGAAGGCTCACCGGCGGACACACACAGGTAGTACTTTGCTGAGAATATAATAATAATGCTTAGTACTTATACAGCATTTTATATCCTCAAAACTCTTTACAGAAAGCAACTCTTCCTCATGACAGCATTGTGAGGGGAGATACAGTACCAATAAGTGAATGTAATAGGTTGAAGTAAATGAATGTTATAATTTTACAGACTGGTACACTCAGAAACAGGTTGATGAAATGGCCAGAGACAGAAACAGACGGGAAGTGTCGACTGTTGAATAGGGCATTAGGCTAGCAGTCAAGTGACCTGGTTTCTGTTCCCAGCTCTGCTAGTGGGCAAGCGACTCTGCCTTTGTTTCCCTTCAGCCCTTTGGGTTTTTTTTGTCTCTTCAGGGTGGGGAGCTGCCGCAGGGCTCAGGGAGGGGGCGGAGCAGAGGTGAGCTGGGGTGGGGTGCTGCCGCATGGCTCCCCAGGCCGGGGGGGGAGGAGCGGTGGGGAGCTGCCGCATGGGGGGCGCCTCAGGGCAGAGGGGAGGTGGGGAGCTGCCACAGGGCTCAGGGAGGCAGGAGGGCACAAGGTGGAAGTTTCGCCTAGGGTGCGAAACGTCCTTGCACCGGCCCTGGCTCTCAGGAGTAGGGAGTGTCTCTTATTCTGAGTTTGTACAGTGAGGCATCAATGTCAATCGAGGATTGTAGGCACTATTTTAATACAGATACAATATAATATAATAACAATAATAATGAAATGACTTTGGAAAGGCCATGGAGGTAGTCAGTCTCAAAGCTGGATGTTGTGATACTAAAGAACTCGGGATAGAATTTTTTCACCGACATTTTTAGTGTCTTATAACTTCAGATCTAAGCGTTAAAAGGAAGTTGACTGACAAAGCATCTGCTCTTTTCTGTTTAATCTCTCAATGTGTCTAGGGTCTTATATGCTGCCCATCATCGTGATATCTGAGTATCTCCCACATATTAATGAATATGCTCTCACTACACCCATAGGACTTAGCGAAGTAATAGTCCTATCCCAGTTTTACAGATGAGGAACTGAGACACAAGAAGTCTGTTGCAGAACCCAGAACTGGGACCATAGCTTCTAGGTCTCTTCGCCACAAGACAATTCTTATGCTCTAATTGAAAGCATAAACATTACAAAGTTATTATAACTACTTAAATTAGCAGTAAATACAACTTCTTAGTTAGAACTTAGGCATCTCTGGTTCACAGTCCCATGATCAGACGACTAGACCATGCCCACTTTCAGTACTTATATTTCTTTCAGTTCATCTTGTGACAGATGCAGCTAGTTGGAAAATGGGAAGTTATGATCTAATGATAAGATGACACTGCAGTACACTTTTGACATGGAAAAGTCTTGTGTGAATTTAGACTTGCTGTATCTGGCATGAGCTATCTCAGCATTTGTATGTGTTGGAAAAGTTTATCCTGGAAAAGAATAACAAATTTCCATTTTCCAGGTAAAATCTGGGGACCAGTTCAAACTTGTTAGAGAAGTGAAGTCATTAACACGTCTGCATCAGTTTTCCCAACAGGTCTGTTTGGTGGGTAGGATTGCCACCTTTTGTTGAAAGCAATACTGAATCCATCTCCATCCTTATCACCCCTACTAAAAAATACTTCTTAAGGAAATAGTCCCCTCCCAAAATGGAAGAAAAGCTCCAGTGGCCTGTTAATTGTAATCAGGTTTTCTTCTGGCAGGCTGCGCTCTTCTCAGCTTCCTATAACTGCCCATCCCTAGCACCATTCCTTATAGATTGTTTGACTGTCCTTCCTCTCAGTTTACTCTTGTTTGCTGTCCTCTCTTACTTCTGCCCCCCCCCGCCCCCCCCCACCACACACACTCTGATCTGCATCCAAGTTGATGGAGGTGGCCAGCACCTCTGAAAGTCAGGCTGGTCACATATTTAGGGACCGAAAGTTAGGCCCCCAAGTTTGAAAAAGGCATTAGTATCTAGAATTACTTTTCAGGAGCGTTTAGGGAGTAATGGAGTCTTTGTACCTATACCAAATGACAACTGCTTTGGGTATCTTGTAGTGATCTTTTTTGTTGGTTTGTTCCTTCTGAAAATATCTCAAAGAAAAGTACCACAAAAAAGCTCACAGCAAGTACACGATTTGACTGCTTTATACTGTCTGCTTCCATTTACACAATAAAAATTAAACAGAAAGAAGGTGAATGTCAAATTTAGGCAACTAGCTGATCAGATAAGAAATTATATAATGTGTTGTTAAAACTGAACATGTTTACAAAACACCTTTCTGGTCTCTGTGAGAAGCTCACAGTCTTCCTTAAATACAGCATTGACTGTGAATTTACAGTAGGTATTAATCTCATCTTGCATGTATATCTTAGTCTTTACCCTTTGCCTCAGGCAAGCTGAGTCAATTATTTATGTATGACCCATAGTAATTAGTGTGCAGTATTGGACAGGTATAAATGAATTATGACAGCCATGCACACAAGGGTGAGCAAGTTCTTTCTGACAAAAGATCACAGAAACTTGGCATTGCATAATTTTAATTTTTCATGGAGTATGCTGTTGCACCATTTGATCTTGCTACAAATAATTTAGCTGAGCAGAATTGGTGTGAAAGCTCCTTAATATGTATTTGTACACTTGATATATATTTACAGCAAATGAAATAGATAACAATCATTTTGATATAGTAAAATTCTAAAAATATTTTTATTAAGGAATGTTGACATTAAACTATAGTTCTTTAAAATTTAATTTAAAAAAATTGTAGACGGTAATATAATATCATCTTTTCCCTGTGTGACCTGGATACTTGAAGATACTATCAATAGCAAGTACTGTTCACCAATGTTACTTCAAATGCTAGTGTAAACAATGAACTTTCATTTGTGGCTATTGAATCCACTAGGTGGTGAGCTTGAATAACAAATTGTTTCTGCAATTAGAAAACCAGAAAACAGATCTCACTATTAAATTAGAACATTTCATAAGTCACAAGTACCAGCTATCAATTTTATCTTTTCAGTATCGGGTTTTTGTTGTTATTTTGCCAAATCATCTAAAAAGGCTGGAAAATATCTGGTGTGATGGGAGCCTGAGGGGCTTACAGTCAGCATGTGCTCAGATTTATCATCTCCCTTAAGAAGAAGAAGAAACTATGAGAAATCAGATGACCTGGGTTTTCTCAGGCTAGTTTCTGTCTCACGGAACTCACAGAAAACTGCTAATATGTGACTCTTCAAATGAGTAATCTTTATAGATCAGAAGGGTGAAAGCACTCCACTGTATTCATACCTAAAGTATGTATTCATTGCATTCTACCTGCATACTTGTATGGTCCTAATCGGTGCAATAACTGAGCATCATCATTCATACCCATTGTGAAATTTAATCGCATAAAGTTGTGGGGGCTGGTTAACTGGGTAGTGGTGGTAGTCGTGTTATTTTATTAGAACCTCCTAAAGAGGCAAATACCTGGAGTTATAAAGTAACATGGTATGGGGAAGAGGGGAGTCATTAATTTTAAAAACGTTTTAATAGGACCTACAGAATTAAGCTTACTTTAGTTCTTCAAAGTCTTCCACAGAGTTGGTTAGACATTTTTCATCAACATTTCAATGGGAAGAAAACCTATGTTCAGGAAAATTTTCCTTCATTTTTCAGTCAGCCCAATTTTTTCTCTGTAACTAGAACTGGGCACAAATGTTACAAATTTTTGACCCAAAAAATTGTGTATGAGGGGGGAATTGTGCAAAATGTTTCACTTTGTGTGAGTATGTTCTGTAGAAGGATGGAAATTTTGAAATTTTAGAGAAAAGCAGGAAAATATTGCAAAAATGTTCAGAATGTATCATCCATCTTCACATTTTTTCCAAATAGCTCTAACTATAATCTAGCTCAGGGATCGACAACCTTTGGCACGCGGCCCATCAGGGAAAGCCGCTGGTGGGCCGGGACAGTTTGTTTGCCTACAGCATCCGCAGATTCGCTTGATTGCAGCTCCCACTGGCCACGGTTCGCCATCCCAGGCCAATGAGGGCTGCAGAAAGCGGCGGCCAGCACATCCCTCGGCCCGTGCTGCATCCCGCAGCCCCCATTGGCCTGGGATGGCGAACCGTGGCCAGTGGGAGCTGCAATCGGCTGGATGCTGCAACCTGCAGATGCTTCAGGTAAACAAACCGTCCCGAAAACCAGACACCCGGTCACCCTGTGAGGCACCTCACTACCACTGGCCCTTAGCGCAAGGAAGTCTTGTCTGTGTCTGCTGTGGGTCAGCTCCCTGACTCCACCGGTCCCGGGCAACATGAGCACTCCGCTCTAGGCCTTTGCAGGCCCCACTCTCTCTATACAGATTAGCAATAAGCACTCTCCAGACCCTGAGCCCTCTGACTGTGGACCTGGAGTGTCCAGCCTCAGGTGTACTGGACACAGCTTTGCTGCTTACAAAAAAGCAGTACACTCAGCTTACAAGTTTCACATCAGATCACCATTCTGTTTAACACACAGCACTTAGATATGTTTATAGTGAAGCAAGTGAAAGTTTATTTAACCAAGTTTAGAGAGACAAGTGACAGCAAGTAGAAGTATTTGGAAACAAATGGTTACATATAAAATAAAATCATAACGCAGATTCTAGAACCTAGATTTATTTAACTAGCTGCTTTCCTGTGTTATAGAACCCTGCTTACCCAAAGTTCTTCCACCAGTTTACAGCCAGGCTTGGCTGTGATTCATTCATGAGACATTCATGTCAGCTTGCCTCCTTGTTGCAAGATCCTGGGTGTCTTTGCATCCCCAGATATATCAGAACAATCCATTGTCCTTATTCATAAGCAAGACATCCCCCTGCTAGTTGAGTTTTTCCTGAGTGCTTCTTTCTTGTAGATTTCAGTCTTTTAATCAGCAGCTGGCTCAGTATGCAAATAAGCCTACATTGTGGGGCACATAATAGACAATGTCCAGAGAGGTAGATAAGCATCTGTTACCCCCTGCTTGAAAGGAACCTATCCAAGGTATATCACCTCCTGGTTACCTGC